CTCTGTTTTCTTTAGCATCTGTTTCGCTCAGACGCAATGCGATCACTCATTCGTGTGACGCTCTCACATGAGTGTCGCGTAAAACTAACACGATTTTCCCTCACACAAAGCCTCTCAGCAAAAAACACTTTGACTAACAAACTCAGCAGAAAATGTTTTTGCCTTCGTGTGCATGTAAATACACGCATACATACATACAACAAGTAAGAAAGCTCTAGTCGAGACTACTCGACTACGAGATCCCCTGAACCCTTGGAGTAATAGCTATTTCAATAATTTTTCGCGTCTTTCAGCTTACACAAGAAACACGCACACACACACACACACACACACACGCACGCACGCACACACAGGCATACATAAACACACATACGTACACACACATACACACACATACACACACACACACACACATACACACATACACAAACAATTACATACATATACACACACAAGCAAAAACACGCATGGGCGGCAGTGACCGCTTACTATGAGAATTTAATTGCTTAATAACTTTTTTTGTGGACGTACGATCTTCAGATTATGATTATAACATGGATATGCATGTAATTGCCAAAGCACAAGTCTCTAGTATTTGAAATACGCTTTTTACAAAAGTGAGGGTGAGGGGGTGAATTTAAGGGTGAGGGGTAAATTTTAACAAAAACCGAAATTGTATAAATTGCATATAAGCATACATTAAAAATTTGAAGACTCTAGCAATAAAGGTGTAGAGATATAATTTTATAACTGGTTTTCGATATGGGTTTTTATCGATAAAAAAAGATCGGGATGAGTTATCGGTTTTTAATGATAAACTTGATATGCGCGCTGTAATTACGGACATTATAAAAAAAATTTGAAGTCTCTAGCTCTTATATCTTCTGAAATCGACGCGTTCATACATACGGACAGACGGACAGACGGACGGACGGACAGACGGATAGACAGACGGACAGGGCCAAATCAACTCAGCTCGTCGCCCTGATCAAGAATATATATACTTTGTGGGGTCTGCCACGCCTCCTTCTGCCTGTTACATACATTTCAACAAAACCATTATACCCTGATTTCCCATTGAAAATGGGTTCAGGGTATAAAAAGAACGCAGCAATCGCGCGTGATTACCCATACAAACGCAACTTACCGTTACTTCTTTAACTCAAGCACACGATCAGTGTTTGACTTGAGGAAACGAAAACAGAAACAACTATCTCCCTCAGAGCGCGAGAGAGCTAAGCCAGACGCGACAAAAACAGTTTCTGTCTGAGTTTTTTTGACTGTGTCACTGAAAGACACTTTTTTGCAGACAACGAAAAAGTGTTAACAGTTATTTGCGAGCTATGATTCTTTCTGTGCAGAACAGGCTGTGCAAATTGTAAAGCCCAAAATTTGCCGTTGGTCTGCCTTGTGAAGTGATTTTGTCTTGCCTTATTTTCACTGCTTGAGCCTCAGAAGACCGAGCCGACCAAATACGAAGTTGTCCGGTCCGCTCAGCGCATTTTTTCGGTGTTGAAAAAGTTTGTTCTACATGTCTAGTCTATGTGTTCTCTGGTCAGTGCTTATATATATAAACAAGTAAGAACGTTGCAGTCGGGCGTTACCGACTGCGCAATACTCATTCACATCCCATCAACAATTTAGTAGTTTAGTTTCGCTCTAATACTGCAGAAAATACAGATTTGCCACGCCCATAAGTGTCTAAGAGCAAAGAGTCGTTTTTATTTTTGCTTAGTGATCAGTAGTTAATATCCTGCGCGAATTAACGCGGAATTGCAAGCAAAATGAACATGTTGTACCAAATCGAAAAGCTTGATGAAAATAATTACGGCGTGTGGCATATGGCCATGGAAAGTATATTGGAAATGGCCGACCTATGGGAAGTTGTTTGTGGCAAATATGAGGGTCAAGATGATGCAGCAGCCGCAAAATGGTGCAAGGATGATAAGAAGGCAAGAGCATATATAACTCTAAACGTAAAGCCATCTCAGTTGATGCATATTAAAAGGTGCACAACAGCCGAAAAAATCTGGAAAAGACTCAAAAAGTTGCACATGCCAGTTGGACCGATTTTAAAGGTGCAAGCATATCAGAAGCTGATTCGATTAAGCATGCAGCAGGGAGATGACATCGTCACTTATATCAATTCATTTGTTGAAATAATTGATAAATTGGCAGAGCTAGATATAACTCTAAACGACGAGTTAAAGGTAATTATGCTACTAGCTATAGTAGCTATAGTTACGCGCGATGAGTTGCCAAAATTTGATGCTGTAAAAATCAAATTAATAGAGGAAGGCACACGAAAGTCAGAGAAGGCAGAAAGAGAATTTAAAGCAGAAACGCAAGCTGTGTATACCCACGCACAAAACAATTCGAAAGAACGGAATAAACAGTTTAACGGAAAGTGTTTCAACTGCGACAAATTCGGGCACCGAGCAAGCGAATGCAAATCAAAGAAGAAGGAACGAGAAGAGGCACGATAGAAAGAGAGTGAGCAGCGAACAAGCAAGCAGTTTGATGCACTGTTTTGCTGGAGAGCAGAAAAAGAGCGTATGGTGCGTAGACAGCGGCGCAACATCTCATATGTGTTGCGATCGCAACATGTTTACAAACTACGCTGAAAAAGAAACGCCGATAATGCTAGCTGCAAATAAGTATGTTGCTGCAAAGGGATTGGAAACGTCAAAATAGAAGGAGAACACTGCATAATAAACTTAAAAAATGTTTTGCATGTGCCCGAGCTCCATATGAATTTTTTCTCAGTGAGCGCAGCAGCCAATTTTGAAAACTCTACATCATTTAAAGGCAAAGTGTCGATTATTAAAAACAATAAAGGCGAAGTGCTGTTAAAAGCAAACGAAGACTGAATGCGGTATACAAAGGCAGTTGACAATACCGTATATACCTCAACAAAACGGCGTTGCAGAGCGTGCCAACCGGACCATAGTAGAAATGGCAAAAAGTCTACTAATTCATGCAAAGCTTGGTGAGTTTTTGTGGGCAGAGGCAGTCACAACGGCTGTATATCTGCGCAATAGATGTCCCACAAAGGCGTTAAATGGAGGCACACCATTCGAAATGTGGAGAGATCGGAAGCCTTCTGTGAAGCATTCGCGAGTGTTTGGATCTCGAGTGTTTGCTCTGGACAAGGCTAAGACAAGCAAATTCCAGGCAAAAGGAAAGGAGTAAGGAGGATCGATCCAGAGAAGCGGAGTGTTATCGAAAGGCGTTACGTTAAATTCATAGAGGGTGAGTTTGACACAAAAACAATCGAAAATGTTGAAGACACAAATAATGATTTCATGACGATCATAATAAGCCTTGATACACCAGAGCTTACATATCATGAGCAGATGACACCGGATGAGAGTAGCAAATAAGAAGAACGGCAAGAGAACGAAAAGAATCCAGAAGTTGAAAGCAACCACAATGATGCACCAGTGACGCGACAGCAGCGTAGGCCGGGCAGGCCTACTATAATTCGAAATGGTCAACCAGGACGACCAACGAAGCAGTACCAGACGAGGCTCAACAGTGTGTTCGATCAATTAGGCACAGAGACACCTCAATCAGTCGAAGAGGCGTTGCAGAGTCAATACGCACAAGAATGGAGAGAGTCCATAGAAACGGAGTACAGAGCACTCCAAGAAAACAGCACATGGACATTATGCGACCTCCCTCCAGCGCAAAAGGCAATGGGTTTTTCGAATCAAACGCGATAAAAATGGAAATGTCGAAAAGTTCAAATCTCGCTTAGTTGCACAAGGAAATATTGCTGGAAACATACGGCATGGGCAAATGCCGGCAAGTCAATACACCACTTGATCCAGGTTTTCAAGTTGAATGTAGCGACGACAACTGCAAAAAGGTAAATAAATTCCAATATCAGTCACTAATGAAAACTATCTCAGAGAAACAACGATCCGCATGCAGAGCATGAAGCTGCAGCAAAACATATTCTTAGGTACCTGGCAGGTATGATGGATTTGGCTATCACATACAGCAAATGTGATGCATCAGCAACAGGATACGCCGATGCAGATTGGGCAAATGACATCCGAGACAGACGCTCATATAGTGGCTACGCGTTCTTTCTCGCTGGCAGTGTATTCTCTTGGACTTCAGCAAAACAGAGTGTCGTTGCTTTAAGCAGCACAGAAGCGGAGTACATTGCGTTAACGTTGGCTGCAAAGGAAGCAGTCTATTTGCGAAGACTTTTAAATGAGATTGGCTGGTTAACAGATGAGAAGCCAATGAAGATCCATGGTGACAATATCAGCTCGCAGCACATTGCACAGGAATCCAGTGCATCACAAACGGACAAAGCACATAGATATTAAGTACCACTTTGTTCGTGAAAAATTACAATCTAAAGAGATAGAACTTACATATGTGAATTCAAACTGTAATGTAGCTGATATTCTTACCAAATGTTTACATAAGTCTAAGCATAATTATTTTGTTAAGTTAATTGGTTTATCCTAGCAAAAGATTTGTTAACTAAAAAGATTATATGTAGCTTAAGAAGTGTTGAAAATGTAATTGAAATTAGCATTAACATAAGCATACATGTAATCTGGCAACACCATAAGAAGAATGTAATGAACATTATTCTGTTTATATTTTACTCTTTATTAAACCTTTAACCGAATCACAACGTTTTTACTCTCGCTGGCATTGCAACGCAAACATTAAGCCAAATATCTCCAACAGGACCTTCACATCAAATTTCAGCTTTCTAGCTCTTCAGCTAACATGATTTCTGGCATATCGGAAAATGCATTTTCCGCCCCTAGTGGGCATATCGGATTTTAACACTTTATAAATCGAAGATATACACGAGTATGCGTTCCAAATTTCAAGTCTCTAGCTTCAATAGCGTCGAAATAGATTGCATTCATACGGACAGACGGACAGACTGACGGACGGAAATTGCACAAAACCAATTCACTTTCGTGAATGAGTATAAAAAAAAAATTTAGTATCTGCCATGTACTTGGAGGCATATTGACTTACTTTTTTTGATCGGCATCGTTCATGTATCCAGAGGGACAATTTATTGTGGTGCACTTAAAGCTACCTCTAATGTTGGTGCAAATATCATTCTTAAATAAAAAAAATAAAAAAATATTTTTGAAATATACAGATGAAATAGAAAAGAAAATCTAAATCTAAATAGAAAATAAATTTTAGATTTGAATGAATCCGTTCACTATTATGTATGCTATATGTAAATATATGATCTGTATAACCATTAAGGTACTCACCCGACCAGTGCACACATGATTGTTACTCGTTGTATCACATTCATCAATGTCTCGGCAAGAAGTCTTGTCAGACGCCAAAGTGTAGCCACGTGGACAGGAACATTGATACGAACCGGGCGTGTTAATGCAGAAGCTAATAAAGGGATTTCATTCAAATGCAAATGATTGATTGATTGATTGGTACGATTAGTGTAATGTATATAGACTAATCTTTAAATAAAGTTTAACAGTTATTAATTTTTTATGGTTAAGTAGCAATAATTCTGTGACAATAAAAAATTTATGATATAAAATTATAACGAGAAAATGGGATGAATCACAAAACAAATAAGAACGAGCTAACGGTACCATAACTGCAAAATTTGAATGCTTACGATCAAAGAATGTGAAAATTAAAAAAAAAAATTCGATTTTTTGAGATAAACTCGATATTCGCGCTATATATACGGACATTTGGAAAAAAAACTAGCTCTTATATCTTCTGAAATCGACGCGTTCAAACATACGGACAGAACGACAGATGGACGGACAGAAGGACATACGGACGGACAGACAGACGGACGGACAGACAGACGAACAGGGCCAAATCGACTCAGCTCGTCCTGATAAAAAATATATATACCTTGTGGGGTCTGTCACGCGTCCTCTGCCTGTTACATACATTTCAACAAAACCATTATGACCTGATTTCGCATTTTTAATGGGTTAAGGGTATAAAAAAGAAAAACAAGTAAGATCAGATATTCGGTACTTCTTCACTTAGCAGCGACTGCGCTTGGGCTGCAGTATGAGCAATATTATGGTAATTTACTTGTTGAATAATTATACCTTCAATCCATTGAAAATGGGAAATCAGGGTTTAAACTCAAATAAATTTTAATTCATAATATTATAATATAATCTATCCATCTAATCCGCCATCTATGTGTGTTAAATGGAGTCTAGCCATTTATGAGATTGACAGTCGTAATGATATTAAGGAGTCTACTAAATGTATTCACGCATGAGCAGAACTATCAAGATATTTGAAAATGCAAAAAAAGTTAATTCTATACCCCCATGCACAGTTTATAATCCTTATGCACTTCCGCATTCATCAATATCATTGCATGTCCTATTATCGTGGCTGAGTTCATATCCCTGATTGCAGGTGCAACGATATCCACCCCAAAAGTTAACACATTTCTGCTGGCAAAGTCCTGGTATGGACTGACACTCATCGACGTCGAAAGCATTGACCATGGGCATACCAATTCTCCTGGTCCATACTATTCGCATTGCTATTGAGAGACTTCCTTTGGAAACCTGGTTTACATTCACAGTAATATGGGCCAATTGTATTGTAGCAGTTTGCATTTGATGAGCAAACAGGGGAATCCTCTGCACATTCGTTAATATCCTCGCAGCTGTTGACACTATCGGACAGACCGGATCACCTGATGTCCTGCGGGACAGGCGCAAATGTAACCACCATTCCGATTGCGACAAATCTGCTTTTCGCCACAGTTGTGATCTCCAGTCTCGCACTCATTGATGTCTGCGAAAAATATAAATTAATAAGAACGTTGTATCGTTCCCACGATTCGAAATTTATATAATAATGTATATATATACGGTATCTAAAATTATTATTAATTTTTATTAAGATTCAAAAATAATATTTTTTTAAGAGCTATATATTTACGTAGGGATGACATCATTTAAGATTCACTGAACAACGGATCATATTTAATATTTAGTATGGTATCCATAATTATTTAAAAGGGTCCTTTAGACAATTTGGTATATTGGTTATAATTTTTGCTGTGTTTTTGGTGTAATTTTTCTGTACCCATGTCTTTCGGACATATATTGAAGATCTGTGAGGTCAGCAGTCCAACTGGCTCCACTAATATTCAATAAATTGGGGTGTTACTTCTTAAAGTTTCTAAAAGTACTTATTTTTCAGCTGACTTTTTCCAATTTTCTTTAAAAATTGTTTAAATAACTTAAAAAAACCAAATTCCTTACTTCATAGGTAAATTTTAACCTTTTTTTTACAGTTGGCTAAATGTTCTTCTTACAGCTATATGTGAAGTTTCCCACACACCATGGTCTGATTACATGGGACATCACCCATAGTATATGGGTTTATCTTAAAAATTCGATGGATTTCCCCTCAAATGTAATTGGAGCAGAATATTTTGTTTCCCATAAAATTAATTGGTCCCTTTTCGGCCGATTGCAAGTTTTTTTATACCCTGAACCCGTTGAAAATGGCAGTACAAGTTTATCATATTTTTCGATAACTCATCCGATAACTTTTTAACGAGAATAATCGAAAAGTTGAAAAGAAAAGAAATGTAGAATGCGTAGAATATCTGGAATTTATAGTTTCAATGGGTAAGCGTGGTAATGTAAATGAATTTTTCAAAAATTTGTCCGAGGTGAGTATTAGTGTAACAGCATATGGAGGTGTATCAGATAAGTCAATGTCCGTGACACATGGACAATCTATGTGTTGTTTATACTTCATGTGCGCTCTGTTGTTTAAAATTTGTTATATCCGTTTCATTTTAAGGTTTCTTAGGAAAATCAGCTCTGGTGCGTCACGAGAACACAAAAGGAAAATGCGATGCAATGTCAGAACGCATTCGGATAATGCGTTGAAAGTATTTGTTGTAGAGCGCACATTGGCCTTTCACACGGTTAAACACCATATATGAGCTACAGGTCAACAGATGCACAAAAGTTTGCTACGTTCCTTGTTTACCGACTCAGAAATCTCCTTAAAAATATTTAGCGCTAGAACAGAAGGGTCCATGGCCATTATAAACAGCGTCATATCTCCATTTTCGCTTATTTTAATACTCGAGGGGCTAGCAGTTATCCCACTTGGAGTAGGCACCGATGGAAATAACCACGGTACCCGATCGTCTGATCACCGCCTCACAGCACTTTTTATTTGTATGTTATAGGTTCGTAGAGTAAGTAAGTAGATCTCGTAATGTTTAGCTGTAATTGGTAGTTTGTAAGTAAATTATAATTGTAGTTTTTAATTTTAAGTTTGTTAGTAGAGCATAATCTCTAGTTTTAATTGATAGTGTGTAAGTATGTTATAATTATTAGTTTTTAATTAGTAGATAATAAGTTGAAATTTGAATTTAAAAAGGGCGCCAAAGCACGCGCGGAGTATCGGCGATCGACAGCGCAGCCCTGCCTCAGCGTGGAGAGAGCTCGCGCTGTGGAGAGTTGCGTTGTCCCCCCGCGGGGCAGTCGGCCCCAAGCGAGGGTTGGAGATTAGGCCGAGTCGTTTATAAAGCGTCGTACGGGGTAGAAGCTGTACGTGCAGTCGAGACCAGGGCTTTATAAAAAATAGAAATACGCAGACAAAGTGTGAAAAGGTTAGAGACATAAGTTTACAGAAATAAAATAATTGAAAAATTGTAAGAGGGAAAAAAAAGAAATAAAGCTGTGAAATAAAACGAAGATATGATCAATAAGGTACACACGTGCTGGCAGACTGTAGAAGGTGGCCCATTTTTCCCACACTACATTATACGACATTGTTAGTAGAGAGGAGTTTGGTTCGGTTTTTGTTTGCCAAGAGTAAATAAGCGGAAACGGTGGAACTAGGTTTTGGTATATTTTAGTGACGTGACGCACAAATCTGGAGGAGTCGTCGATTTATATATTTGGTTGACAGCTGGATGGAGGTTGAATTGAATGGGAAGTCATATTTTATTGGTAGAGAGTAAAGTTAGGATATAAGTAGAATAAGCATTCGTTTGTAAAACAGTACTAAGAAGAGCGTTAACAAGTAAGCCGCTAGTGTTATAGCAGTTAGTTTTTAGTACGTAAGCAGAAATTCAAATTAGTAGGCGGGCGCGCGATCAGCAATCACAACCGTGCTGGTCGCGTAATGAAAGCTGCGTGCAAGAGTTAGTTAGTTTTTAGCTCTCGGAGGTGAGCAGACGTTAATAAAAATCGGATCAGTGAAAGGTATTAGAATTTAGCATGCGTATGTAGAGATGGTCGTGTATTTATTTGTAGTTAGTTCATCTAACATGTTGACTTGTGACACTAACCGCAATTAACTATAGCAACACTAACTACTAACTGGTAGTTTAAACGTGGTTACGACCCGTTCGCCAGAAGGGTAAATCTCTGGCAAGAGTGAAAATCGCGTGGTCTGGGAGTGAACGCCGGCGGCAACGCCTGGGCGTTGCTCGACCCGCGATCTACCATTCGTAGTGGCCCCAATAACTCCCACAGCCGCCTTCACAACCCCGACCCCGAGCAATCTAGAGTGCGCTTCGATCGCGCCACTCGATTGCCCATGCCGCGGCGCTCTCGACGTGCAAACGCGTGGGCGTGGTCGGCGAGTTCAGGCCCCGTGGTACCCCCTGGCCTCAAATGGTACCCCTTCCCCTCTCTCCCCATTTCGCCAGCCCTGAACGTCGCGCTAGTAACTTATCCAATTTCGCGCAAGTTGCGGCCCCGGGCAGACTGAGACTCTGACCCCAGCTGGAAAAATAGTGTAACCTTACAAGACCCCAGAAAATATATGCTCCTATATACATACATATACGTATGTATCGGCGCGTCGATTTCAGAAGATATAAGAGCTAGAGACTTCAATTGTTGCAGCTGTCCGTATGTACAGCGCGTGATATCGAGTTTAAAAAAAAAAAAAAAAATAACAAGAGTAAGAGGAAAGCTCTAGTCGAGACCTTACTCGACAACGAGGAAGATCCCCTGAACCCTTCGAGTGCCAGTAGCTATTTCAATAATTTTCGTCTTTCTGCTTATACAAGAAACACGCAAAACACACACACGCATACACACACACACTGAGTAGGGGAAGCCGTAAGCTGTACACAAAGGCCTTAGGTGACCGAGCGGTAGTTGGAAACACACCGATCGGCTCAAATCGCGATTCGCGACCCAAGATGCTGGCAGACGGGAGGTGGCTAGTTGCCCACCTTACATTATACACACGGAGTAGGGAGGGCCCCGGATTCGGATTTTTGTTTGCTTTAGTAAATAAGCGGAAACGGTCGGAACTAGGTTTTTGTATATTTTGAAGTGACGCAATCGAAGTCGTCGATTTATATATTTGGGGTTCACAGATAATGAGTTGAATTGTGAAGTCATATTTTGGGGTAGAGAGTGAAGTTAGGATATAAGTAGAATAAGCATTCGTTTGTAAAAAACAGTACTAAGTAGTTAATAGAGTAGCCGTAAAGTGGGTTGTAGCGCCTTTGGTTGAGTTTTTAGTGACGTAACCGAAATTCAAAATTAGTAGGCGAGGCACGCGATCAGCACAGCCCACAACCGTGCGGCTCAACGCTCGTAGGAGTGCTGAATTGCATTGCTGGTGTTCGCGTAATGAAAGCTGCGTTCAAGAGTTAGTTAGGTTTTTAGCTCTCGGAGTGGGGAGACGTTAATAAAAATCGGATCGGTGAAAAATTATTAGAATTTAGCATGCGTATGTAGAGATGGTCGTGTATTTATTTGTAGTTAGGGTTCATCTAACCTGTTGACTTGTGACACTAACCGCAGTGAGCTATAACAACTTTTTAACTACTGGCTGGTAGTTTAAACGCGTGGTTACGACCCGTTCGCCAGAGGGAGCCAATCTCTCTGGCAGTGAAAATCGCGTGGTCTGGGAGTGAACGCCGGCGGCAGCTGCTTCACTGGGCGTTACTCGGTCCGCCGATCTACCACTCGTGGTGGCCCCAATAACTCCCACAGCCGCCTTCGCTAAGCCCCGACCCAAGCGACTAGAGTGCGCTTGATCGCGCCACTCGATTGCTGCCATCCTCAAGCGCTGCAAACGCGTGGGCGTGGTCGGCGAGTTCAGGCCACGTGGTCACCGACACCTCAAATGGTACCCTTCCCTCTCCCCATTTCGTCAACCCTGAAGCGTCCCGTAGTAACTTATAAATTTCTTGTAAGTTATGGCCCTGGGCAGAGCTGAGACTCCGACCCCAGCTGGAAAAATTAATAGTAACCTTACAAGACCCCACAAAGTATATATATAATACATATATACTACGTATGTATAAAGGTGCGTCGATTTCAGAAGATAAAAAATAAGAGCTAGAGACTTCAATTTTTTTTAGCTTGTCCGTATGTACAGCGCGGATATCGAGTTTAAAAGATAACAAGAGTAAGAAAGCTCTAGTCGAGACTACTCGACAACGAGGAGATCCCCTGAACCCTTCGAGCAGTAGCTGGTTTCAATGGTATTCGCGTCAATCTGCTTACACAAGAAACACGCAAACACACACACACACATATACACACACACACA